AAAAAGTATTAATTAATTAGTATATATGAGGTCGACCATTTTTATTTTTATTCATATTATATGTAATGGTTATTAAAATTATAAATAACAGATTTTTTATAAAACTTATTTTTAACAAATCCAAATATTATATATATATATATATATACTTGGGATCATGTGAGACCAGCCTGTTTTCGTGAGACCTGTGAGACCAGCTTTTTACACTTGAAACTTCACAGCAAAATGCTGTGAAGGTGACTTTTTTTTAACCTTCACAGTGTTTTTGCTGTGAAAGTTCGAATTTTTTTAAACCTTCACAGTGTTTTTGCTGTGAAGTTTACGTGTAAAAATGTGGTCTTACGGGTCTCACGAAAACAGGTGGTCTCACGTGAACCCAACCATATATATATATATATTCTTTTAATTAATATATTATTTTTTTTAACTTTTTTTTTACCATCTTGCTCATATTAGTTAATAATTCATATTATTAGAGATTTGTTTCAATTATCTTTAAAAAAAATATATAATTGCTTAATGTTTCAAGATGCCATTTTTGGTCGGTTCACATTTTCATCAGCTAGTTTTTGTCGAACATGATTGGTTTATCAGCTAGCTTATAATATAAAGATAGCTTATATGCTAACAACTACTTTATCAAGTATCAACTAACTTATCAGCTAGTTTCCCAAACATAGCCTTAGGATTGTGTAGGAAATCTAAATGTAGGAAGACAACACGAAGTTTTTGAAAAGAAATTAAAAATAGTATAAAAATTGATTCAAACCAGTGGAGGTGGTAACAGGACACAAACACAGACATTTTTATGTGGACCTTGCTTCTTCTTGGTCGTCTCACCATCAATAATATTATAACTAAATTCATTTTTGTTTTATTATAACCTCATTCAGATTCGTGTGACATCCTTATAAATATATTCATTTTTTTTCAGTTTCAGATAATAAAACAAGATTAACGTGTTTGATTATTTGAGAATGTTTGTTTTTAGAATCCATTAATTTTGATATTAACACACAAACCCTAATCCACCCATGTGGTAATTCCAACTAATTGATTCTAATATTAATTGAAATACTGTAACTCTAGTGAACACTAAACCCCAACTCAGATTCATTTCCCTAATCCTACAAAGTAAAGCTGAAAAAAACCCTGATGATACACACTTTGATTTCTCGTTCTAAAGAGTTCCATAGTTGTGGATCCTAATGTAATACATAGGTGTTAAGTGCTTTCATTTAATGTTGTTTTCCAACTAATAATCATTGGTTCCACCTAATTAAGGAAACCACAAGTCGATCCACCCCCAGCCCGGAGGCACCTATATATATACTTCATCCCTATATATCACAAAACTTGACAAGATCTAATAAGAGTTGCATGAGTAAGAAAACATATATGTGAAGGTAGAATAGCCATGATACAATTTGGAGTAGATACCGTGAAGCAGTCACGAAATTCATTTCACTGCTGGAGTAACTCCATAAATATATTTTATTCATAATAAAATCAAGAGAAATTTAATGTCAAAAGAGAAACGGCTCGTTACATAAATCCAATGCTGACCATAAAAACTCATTAGCCATGACCATATCCTGGCTATAACCATTGGATATATAGTCAACGACTAAATCCATAGGGGTGAACAAGTGGTCACTTGATGAAATGATATTATCATCATCTGATATGAATGGGTCAGTCCAAAAGTTTGTAGTTGGTTCGTAATCAAGTGGTTGTTGCGTAACATCACTTGAAACGGCATAATCCCAACTACTTGATGAATGTGATGATAACCGATCAATGCTAGGTGATTCAGATGAGGATCTTTCTCGTAAAATTTCAACTTCTTGTAGGAGTTTAAGATTTGTTGTTTCAACAATATTTTCTTGCGGGTTAGCTTCATTAACTTTGTTGGTTTCATTGTCGTCTTGGTTTTCTAGCACAATATGCTCCTTTTGAGCTTGTCTTTTCAAGTGCGTGTTCCAACGATTTTTTATTTCATTGTCGCTTCTCCCAGGCAAATTTGTTGCAATTGCTGACCACCTGCAAATAGAAGAACAATTAATCTTACGTTTAGCAACGAGAACCTTGAATAATTTGTAGTTTAAAACATTCCGCTAAATTAAATAATAAATTAACTCAATTAGATTACTTACTTGTTGCCAAGCTTGTTATGCAAATCCATGATGATATTGTCTTCTGCTTCCGTAAAATTACCATGTTTTATGTTTGGACGAAGATAATTCACCCACCTAAGCCTGCAACTCTTCCCACTTCTTGAAACACCTAATTAAACAAAGAAATCATAGAAGAATATATAATTAAGCGAGTATCAAAATTCTTTTTTTTTAAGAATTAGTTTCAAGAACTCTTAAATATCATACCAGCAAACTTGGTAAGTAAAGCCCAGTTCCAATGGCCGTATATGTTAATATATGCTCTTAACTTGTTATCTTCATCGTCACTCCATGCACCTTTCTTCATTCCATTTTTCTTGGACTTCACCATCTTCTTGTATTCAGGTACTCCACAAGTTTCTTTCTCTCTCTCTCTCTCTCTCTCTCTCTCTATATATATATATATACACACACATAACAATCATGATCGACGTCATAAGGTGTTCAAAAGAAAACGTTATGGATGATGTGCATGTAACATGCCTCATGCCTCATGCCTCATGCACCGTCCTTGCGCTTTATTGTTTATCCCATAATTAAATGTGAAGTGTAGGATTTGGAAGATGACACGTGTTTGTTTTTAGACAAAACGTGGCAATCCATGAACAGATATCTTCAGGAGAACGGTGGAATTCCTCATGTATATATATATATTGTGAATGCTTATTTTATATTTTCCCATTTCAAGTATTTTTTTTTTATTTTTTCAATTTCAGATGATATTATAGAACAAGATAACACATTGAAGTATTAATTTTCTTTTAGGAAAAAAAAAATAAGACCGTATATGTGTTTGATTATTTGAGAATGATTGTTTTTAGAATCCTTTGATTTTGATATTATAATACAAACCCTAATCCACCCATGTGGTAGTTCCAACTAATTGATTCCAATGTCAGTTAAAATATTGTAACCCTAGTTAACACTAAACCCGAACTCAAATTCCTTTCCCTAATCCTACTAAGTAAAGATGAAAAACCCCTGATGATACACACTTTGATCCTATCACTCTTTCCTACATTGTGTTGTAAACCATATAGGCTAACTTACATGAACATGAACCCATAGGCTATAACCCTTCTTGAACACGATAAACTCTAGTTAACCCTAAATATTCTAATTGTAATCCTTTTTCTTTTACCACTCTAAACCATAAACTCGAACATAATGAATTTGAATCAAACTTAATACACATTGACTGCTTCCTACTAACTAAACCATAAATCCTAGTAACTCTTAATAACAAAATGGTAGTAACTTTAATCAACCGTAATTCACATTGATTACCTGGCGAACAATATATATATATATATATATATATATATATATATATATCAAAGAAAGAACCAAAGTTGATAACTTGACTTTTCCTAAAAGCTAGAAAACTCATTTATCTTTTTTCTTATTCAACCTCCTTTTAATTTGTTTTCCTAATTTCACATGTTAATTTCTATAACATTGACTATTCATTTATATTTGCATTTAACACTATCTTTTCGTTTTCCCTAACTCTTCATCATGTCTCAATCATTTTATTTTATTTCTCATGAATTGTTTATCATTCAATCTCCTTTTTCTATATCTACATCACTTGATTTGTTTTTTATATTTCATTTTCTTTCTCATGAATTGTGCATCATTCAATCTCTTTTCTCTATCTAGATCACTTGATTTCTTTTTCATTACATAAACCATTATTTTTCAACAAATTCATTTTTAAGTTTATTTCGATAAGACTAATTCTGGTACGCATTTCTTTTGATAAAATTCAACATACGACATCGTTAAAAATGGAGATTGAAGCGGTGGAAGAAAATTTGGAAGAAAATGAAATCACCATGGGACTAAGCACGCTGCCAACTACCGATACCGACGACACTTACTCACAATATGACGATGATGAGGAACTCGACATTGATGACCTTGATGACCAAGAAACTATTAGAAGAATTTAAGAGACCGGAACTCTTCAAAACAATCCGACATAGGGTACCGATGATTATTGTTGAATAAATGTATTTTCAAATAATTTTATATAATATATTTTTGGAAGATGTAGTTTTATAATAAAACGCATTTTTAAAGTGTATTTTAGTGACCCAGTTACAAATTTTATAATGTATTAAAAAATATATCGTTAAAATAAATTTAAAAAAATATATTTTTTAATGGTTGGACCGCCTCACCTTAACCGGTTACACTTCACCTTAACCAGGCTCATCCAATTCAACTGGGATCGGGACCGGTAATGGACCGGCATCGTTGAGGCCCGGGATCGATAAGGACAGGACCGGCCCGGGACCGGTTTTTGGCCATCACTAGTCTTGGTCCTCCGCCTGTACTTGGCTGGGCCGACCCATTTGGCCATGTCTACTCAGAAGAAATGGCAAAAACAGGTCCCCAGGTCGTACTGAGCCGAAATCTATCTCGGTTCTTGATTTATTGTTCATAACCGGTCCCAATTCCAACCAATAACCCATGGCCCAGTCTTCATGGTTTATAATTGCTCCCTAGAACTGGTCGGGTCCTGGACCGGACCCAAACTAGTCCCGTTTTGAAAAAAAATTGAACATTAAAGAATATAGAAGATTTTTATAGACAATACTTTATTGAAATACATTTTAAAATCTCAAACCGAGTCATTCAAATAAACTATAAAAATATTTTATAAACTTTTTTACACAAAAAATGTTATAGATGGTTTTATAATTATGTTTTTTAAATTTTAGTAATGAAACACTTGTAAAAATCCAGAAAACGTCAAAAAAGAACTTGAAAAGCTTAAAAAAGCTTTTAAATTTTCATCCAAAACTTGAATTTTTTTTTATAAAAATATTGAAAAACTTAATATATAATTTATAAAAACTTAAATTTTTTTTTTTTCTAAATCAGGTTTATATATAACCTGGACCAGGCCATGAATTCCTACAAAAATCGTAATCAGTTACGGACCGTCATGGGTCTTGGACCGGGCCCATTTAACCATCTTAGGCTATTTTAAATTGTTCTGACTGAAGGTTTAATCTAATCCTGGGGCTATCACTCGGGCTGGACTATATTATTAGGCACTCACAAACTGTTTTAGCAAGATTATGTTTGGTCCATTTATTTAATAAATAGATCTCCGTCTTAAATTATTTGGGCAAAATTCGTTTTTCCCTTCTACTAACTGATTATATGTTCGGAGACCGTATTCTAATAATTTAAATGACATAATATTAATCTTTATTTAAATACAATATTATTGTGTTTAGCATTTTGATATAAATTCATAAAATGATCAATTGAAATATTGATATTATAATGGACAAATCAAAAGATTACTTTACAATTACATTAACAAATACTCAAATAATTATACAATGTAATTGAAGGGTATGTATACATGACCGTGAGACACGCAATAAATAAATAATATTAAAATTATAAAACCAATAATATCCAAATGTCGGTTATAACCCTTTCCAAAAGTGAGACAATATATTAGGGGTGTTGGTTCACAGGATTTCGACGAATCTGAAGGAATTTGAATGATCTATTATGTTGACCAAATTACATTCCGACGTTTGATTTACATGTGAATAATATTTGATTTCACATATTCCACCATTTATGGATTTGGTTATTCCATCACAAGTTAGATGAAATTCAATTTCATTCAGTAACATTTTCTTAAAAAAACAAAAGTATCCTCATTTTTCCTACTTAATTTATCCGGACCTGATATCCATTTGAGAAAACCCATCCCCATCAGACTATTTGGACCATTGAAATGTAATATTCAGACTTATAGGACATTTCTTATATCTGAGAACGGATTTTGAAACAATTATGAACATTTGAACGAAATAATAATACATTGACAAATTGGGAAATGAACTGATAAACAAAATGGACGAACAAAGACTCGTGGTTACTCGTCAAAAATTGATAGGAAAGTATTTGGAGGTATACCGGTACTCTAAGGAGCATCAACAACCAATATGAGTTTCGTGATCTTCATTTACAAGAATGAGATATAAAGGACGAGTAACAACAACATAAGTGCTTCAGCGTTGATTTAAACGTATATATTATCATTTCTATTTTTGTTTTTTAAACTCCCACGCACCCCCTCTCTTATTGACATAAACCCGATGTAACCCATCTCTCCTTTGCCTGACTTCGTTATACATGTTATAAAAAATCATGAGCTTATTAAGACTTAGACCGACTATTTTGTTAAAACTTATGCACGTAATTTATAGGAGGAGATGCTCAAGCTTTAAGGGTAAAAAAAAAGTTTAAGTATTGAAGGAATTTTAGCCGACAACCTGATATTTTATTGTATCCACATCTTTGGAAAGAACCAATATGTTTAATATTTCTATAGCTTCAACTTTAGATTATGATATTGATTTAAGAAAATTATCTTAGAAACTTTAGATTATGATGTTGATATAAAAAAATTATCTTAGAATTTAGATGTTTCTAGTATGATTACCTTGTGTAATTGATAACTTGCAAACGTGATGCACGCGTACCAAACAAATTCCTATTTAGAATTTGGTATTTTATACTTAAAATTGTTGTTTTTATTAAATATACAAGAGATGATTAAGGGAGTGAGATGTGGAAAAAAAATTTAGGGTAAATTACATTCTTGGTCCCTGTGGTTTACACGTTTTAATATTTTAGGTCCTTATCTTGAAATATTTGTGGATTACATCTCTGTGGTTTGCATTTTATAACGTATCGATCTCGTAAATCTAACTTCATCCAAAATTGTAATTAGAGTTAAATTGGAGGAGTAGTTTAGTCTTTTTACAATTTCTTTAATTTTTCTATTAAAAATTTCACTTTCTCCTTTCTTTTGATAGATTTTTTATTTTTATGTATTATATATATATATATATATATATATGTGTGTGTGTGTGTGTGTATTTATTTATTTATTACACAAACAATAACCAATGAAACATCGTCTCCTCCTCACCGTCGAGAACCTTGACTTTTCCTCCACCGGCCTGTGAAAGCACCGCCTTCTTCAGGTCACTAGTGAAACCCTTATCTTCTTTCCACCACCACCACATCGTCGATCCCCCTGAAGAAACTCGGGAGAAATCCATGACCAATGCCATACCTTATGCACTTTGACGTACACCTTTGTATCCTCTTTATTCTTCTCTTCATTCTCTACTTCTTCCTTGATCAAGCATGAACCACAAAGAAACCTACGACCACCACCGAAGGCACCCTAGAGAAAGCCACTACCACTGCCCCAGCTCGTATACTTTGTCGTACACCATCATACTAATGGAATACATGAGCCATACACTCAGTGGAAATATATCGTATTCCTCCAAGAATCCATACTAAATGGAGTAGGATGGGTGTTTTAAA